TTAACGTTTTTAGGTTTTTTTTAGCTTAAAAAATAGTGTATCTTGACAACACATTATTTGGACAGTTCATTTCACGATTTTCAAGTGTTTACAAATCTACTTGATTGGAACCATTTTTAGAGTTTAAGATTTTATAAATATATATGAAAATAGATTTTCAATTTATCTTAAGAATTCCTTTTTAGATAAATTATATTTACCATAAAATTTGGAGGTACGCTTTAATTTGATTGTTTACGGTTGCAACCTTATACAAACCACACCCTTCAAGTAGATTATTTAATTCCATTCCTACCTTGTTCTGTAGCATCTACTTTTTGACCTTGCATAATTAGAAAATCCGAGTTCAAGCAATTATTCATCGGATGATGCCTTGAGAATCGAATACTGTGGGATGAGCATAAATTGGATGAACATCAGCAGAGGCCCCTAAGAGCGGTCGAATTCAAAAGAAGAAGAAGAGAAGAAGAAGAAGGAGGAAGGAGAGAAGAAGAAGAGAGAAGAGAGAGAGGGAGAGAAGAAAAAGTCTATAGAAGTAGAGATTGAGAGTAATGGAGAAGTACCCCAAGGGATACCTTGAGGGTCTAGTACTGTGGGATAGACCCAAAATAAAGATGATCCCAGCAGAGCCTAGTCGGAGTTGTCTAGAAAAGGGACAAAGAGATTCATAGAGGTGGGGAGAGATTAGGAGAGAGAGATATATATTCGAGAAAGAGAGCGATTTCAAGGGAGAAGAAGAGATTTAGAGAGAAAGAGACATTCGAGAGAAGAGAGAGACACTCAAGAGAAAGGAAAATATTTCAAGAGAGAAAGAGAGTAAGATAAAGGGAGAAGGAGTTTAAGAGAGAGTTTAAAATTGAGAGAGAATGGTTTCAAGAGAGAAAGAGAGTTTGAAATTTTAAACTTGAGAGAGAAGATTTAAGAGAGATAGTTTCATTCAAGACATGAAGAGAGTTTGAGAGAGAAGTTTTAAGAGAGAGATTCATTCAAGAGAGGAAGATTTTAAGAGAGAAGAATGTTTAAGAGAGAGGGAGAGATTCATTCATGAGGGAAAGAATTTAAGAGAGAAGGTTTAATAGAGATTGATTTGAGAGAGAGAGAGAGATTTTCAAGAGATTGAAAGAGAGATTTTAAAGAGATTAAGACAAAGATGAGGAGCATAGAGTCAAGGTTGAGGCTTAAGAGAGAATGAGAGTTTAGGTTTAAGAGAAAGAGTTTACGATGGTGAGAGAAAAAGTTTAAGATAGAAAGGGAGATAAGGGAGCTTAAGAGAGAGAGAGAGTTTAAAATTAAAGGAGAAGAGAGTTTAACGAGATAAAGAGTTTAGAGGGGGGCCTTAGAGAGAGAGAGAGAGATTAAGAGAGAGGAGAAGGGGTGAGAACGAGGAGAGAGAGAGAGAGAGAGAAAGGCCCAGGCTGGCAATCTAGGCTGCCCCATAGCACTTCCAAAACATCTATGATTCACCATCAAAGTTAATCTAAAATAAATGGAATTCATATGTTAATTGGTTCAACAAATATATTTATGGCTTTTTTTTAATAACATGCTTTAAACAAGGGAATTAATAAATATATCAATAGTTTTTCAAAATAGATACCATAGAACTTCAAATGTCAGCCCATGACCATGACATTATAAACACAACTCCAAATCCTAGCCGCATCACCATAACCTCATAATTGAAATCCCAGTCTTCACAAAAGATGTACCTATTCAAATCTCCATAAATATTGTCAAATCTTGAAGCAATTAAAGAAATTGTAGGACTTGAAATGATAGGGTTTGATTTGGGATTTTTTAGTAAAATTTATGGAAATAGGGTCGAAATTTTTTGAATGCTCACTCCAGAGGTTAGAAAGAGAGAAGAAGAGATTACTAGCTTTGAGTCCATTTTTTTTTGGGGACAAAACTCCCTCAAATATCAGTTTTTTGACTGAAAAAATGCACCTTTTTTTTTTAAAGCTAGCTTTCACAACATTAAGGGGCCGTTTGGATACCCAGAAATATATTGTTTGTGAAATATATTACTGGCGTAATACATTACCTATAAATGGATTGTTACTGTTTGGGTAGTATTTAGATGCAACTTGAGAAATACATTGTTATTGTTTGGCTATGTTTGGAAGAAATATAGGAAATGCATTAGCAACATTTAACAAAGTACGTGCCTATAAACTATCATTTCTTTTTTTTTTGTTACAAAATTACACTAAAATGCAGAATTATCATTTCTTTTTTTTTGTCACAAAATTATACTAAAATGCAGAATTATCATTTCTTTCTAGTTTGTCACAAAATTCCACTAAAATATGGAATTAAAATAATCATCACACCATTCCAAAAAGATTTCTAATAATAACTTCATCACCATTCAAAAAAGATTTTATAATAATAACTTATACCATTTTAGAGTCATCATGACACTATTTCCTACTTATTTTACATGCCTTTAGCACTTACATGGAATCACATGTCTTCTAACATAACATTAGTTTCAACATGATAAGTCATTGGAACAATATGATAGGAATAACATGATTTTATTATGATAAACCTTATTTTTATTTATTTTTTATAAAAGTATTTCAAATGTTTCTTTATATAATTTCAAATAAACAATAAATTTATGATACTAAATTCAAAATCTCTATGGTACGAGTTAAAAAATGGGAAGAAGTTAGATTAGTAAACTAGAAAGTTTGGTAATTGCACTATAAAATTTTGAGGGATTGGAGGAGACAAAAGAGTGTTATTTCAATTGAGATGCTGTGTGAAATTTTTATTATGATTGTGTTGTATAATTTATCATTGATTACTGATTTTTATTTTTATTATTTTGGTTTTTATATGATCACTTATTATTTTTGTTTTTATATGATTACTGATGTCTTCATACAGGGGATGAGCTTAAAAAGGGAGGGATCTAGTTATTATGAAGGGAGGGCTTATCAGAGATGAGTTTTTTAATCAGCAATTTACCAAAATTACTTGTCCCTCTCGTAATAGATTTTTCATCCATCATGTAATGGATTTACTGATTTTCAAAGAAATCTGGCGTAATCTATTTCTATTTCTTTACAATTAAGTGTATCTATGGTCAGGAATAGATTTTCAGGTACCCAAACAGCCCCTAAATGTGATGTTAGCATCGTAATTGGACCTTATCTCAATTAGATCAGAAAAAAGAGTAAAAAAATGTCTCTAATGGTAAAAAAAAAAAAAGTTAGCCGGCCATGCTGAAAAACTACATGAGGGTTTCAAATTTTTGAAATGGTAAAAATCACACATTTAGCATTATGGAGTTCTAAAATCATAGATTTTTAAGGATTTGAAATCTCTTTTTTTATTTTTTTATATCATTGCATACCAATTATAATTTTTTTTCAACACTCAAACAAAAATTTTTTTGACGGATTTTAGAGGTGTATTATTTTAAGGGCAAGCTTTCTATGCTTGCTTTGCAACATAAAACTTATAAACTTTTCTTTATCCAACAGTCCATTTTGAATAGAGGGCTAAGATTGTTCCAATCGCAATGTCACGTCTATACACTATTTAAATTGTTTTGATACCAAAATTTAAACGTTCAATCCTCTATTAAACTCACACCAACAAAAAATATAAAAACAATATTTCTAATAAAATAAAATGAGTAAAATACCTTCGAAAGTTTTGAGGGGTATTTTGGTTATTATATTTTATTAAAAAATATTTTTTAATAGGTGCGTCCCAATGATAGGATGATAAATACCAAATATTATATTTATATAATTTATATAAAAAAAATCTAAAAATAAAATATTTTGAAACATCAGATCTAAGATCAAATGATAGGAGGCAATCTTGGTCAAAATTGGACAGCTAAGATAATAGGGAAAGCACAAATCTTCAACATTATGTAAGGGAAGCACAAATCTTCAACATTATGTAATTTTTTACTTTTATGAAAAAAATAAAACAGAGACATTAAATAGAAGCATTCGGCGATAAGGATATTAACGTTAGTTCCTCCAAAGACAACCTCGCTTCAGTGTTTCCTTTCGCCGGGTATGAGCAAAAGAAGCCTAAAAGAGCCCCTAGTATTTGTTTCTTCGAACCAGCAAAGGAACCCCAAATTCAAAACCCTATTCTTTCGAGCCGACCACTCCGGCGTTTCTTCCCTTCTATTCCTCTCGATTTTCTCTCTCAAATTCAGTTTCTCTCTCTACTATTTTTCTCTGCCCTCCCTCTTCGGCGTCTTTCTGCATAATTCTTCTTTCATGCAGCTACTTTGATTTACAGGTCGGGTAAGTGTTTGTCTTCCATTTTTGCATCGCTGCTGCATTCCCACCTTATCCAGCCCCATGAATGTTCATCTTGTTGTTTTCTTTGTACACAAATTTTATGGCTTTGGTTTTTCATAATTCTGGTATTGGGTCTGTGTTAGATATTGGATTGGATGGGGCATTTTCTTCACTTTTAAGTATATACTGATTTTTTTTGGCGAGATTTTGCTATGCTGTTTGGGTTTGATATCTCTGTACAGTATTTGAAATGGGTTTGATTTCTAATAGTTTCTGCTACATGGGTTTGTAGCACCTGATGACAAAATGAATTCATTCTCGGTTATCCGAAAGAAAACCCCTTTTCAAAAGCATAGGGAGGAGGAGGAGGCCAAGAAAAAGGTAGCAGAGCTAATTGTTTGCTTATATTCATATAACTGATGAGTTGGAGGCGTTTACAGATATGTGAAGCTGCTATTTTGCTTGGGTTCTTTTGCTTTTGGGTTTTTCATCTATGTCTTGTTGATCCCTTACGGGTTTTAGAGAGCGGAAGATGAGACTGCTCGCCTTTATGAGGAATTCGTCGAGTCATTCCAAGGGGACAGTGCAGCAAAAGCTTTTGTGAGAGGAGGGACTATCAATCCTAATGAGCGCCTGAAGAACGACGAAGGTTGGTATCTTGTGGCTTGTCCTTCTTACTTCTCGCTTTCTGAATGGATATATGCATGTGATGTTACTTTTTACAAGGGCACATTAATAAGAATATGGACTTTGTATGCATTCAACAATGGCAGGTGGGAATTCCAAAGATGGGGTATCTGGTTCAAAGAAGGGGAGTAGGTAAATGAATGCATCTGATCTTCTTTAAGATGGGATCTTGGTGCCACTGTGCTCCATGTAGCAGCAAACGGTTTATGATTTACTTAGGCTAATGTTCACTTTATGTCTCAGTGATACATATTTATTCAGAAAGAAGAAACTCATCGATATTTGAGTAGGTTATGTTTCTTATATTTGCTATGGAGTTCAAACTCATGCAATGAACTATCTGACTGTAATTGATAAATTGTGTAAGTCATGTACTTGGTGAATTTTCCCTTGAGAGCTAACATACATCAAGGAATTGATCAGTGATAAAACATTGAATAGAACATATGCCTATTTCTTCTCATATTAGATGAATAGTCACTCGTTACTAGCTCTGGTGCATTTTTAGGATCATCTACCTTAATTTCCGCCTTTTTAGTATGAGAACTTATATCGGGTCACTGAATCTTAAATTATGTCTTTACACTGGAAGATATATGTTCCTTATTCCATGCTATGTTTATTACAGTCTATGAGTTACACGGTGACTGTCAATACTAATTTTTGTTTTATCTATGCATTTTTTTGTTTTGCTAGTATATCTTTTGTTTGGTAAATGCTGCTGCTATATTGTTCATAACATGAAATGTACCATTGATGTTGAACTTTCTTGACTCGTTGATTGAGGGATGTAATACTTAGAGGATTGCCTGCCTATTTGAGGATTTTACAATAAGAAAATAATCATTACAAAGCTTTTCAGTTAATGCATACACTTATTATGTCTTAAGAAATCAAATAAGCTTCGTCTACGCTTTTTTCTTACATTTGTGCTAGGATTTCTTTTAATGACTATTAGTACATTCCTTTCTATTTGTTGACCTTTATATGTGTTAGTAATTTTGGGAGCTTTCATTCCCCAGTTCCTGTGTCGTCCTTGCCAATAGGGTGTCAGTGCGTTGTATGTGTCTTGGCCCGTGTTGGTGTTCATTAAGGTGGCCCATAAAATGAGCGTGGTCTGATATGTCCATACAACTATTTATATTGAACACACACACACGGCTATGTATGTACATATTTCTACACACACACACACATACATATATATGTTTGTATATTTAGGTAAGTATATTTGTATGCATGCATGTATGTATGTATGTATGTATGTATGTATATATTTATAGGAAAACAGATTATGTAAGCCACTGGGCTTCCCTTGCAGTGTAAGACACTATTAAAAGTAGGGAATCATTTGACCCCAAATTTTTTCATACATGTAGATCTCATGTAGGTGATCAAATAAAAAAAAAGGGGATTTGCACAAAAGGGGGAGACTGCAATTTTTGGTTAGAGCAAAGTCCATCTGGATCTAGGCCTTCTAGAACTCAAAATTGATTTTTTCTATTTATTTATTTTTAGAAGGGAAAGTTTTGTGTTTCAGGATTGATGAAAAGATGTGACAAAATTTTACGCTGGCTGTCTAACTAACACAACCCTCCTCTCTTATCATGGGTATGACCCTTGAAAGAGCAAAATGGAGGAACATGATTCATGTAGCCAATCCCAGATAGTTGGGATAAGGCTGGGACGATGACGATCACGAAAGTTTTATGGTCATTATCAAAATGGTACTTGTCTATAAGTATTAGTGAAATAATTTTGATGAATATGGCATATGTAGCATGGATAATGTGATGGTAAACACTTTTGCCATTCTATTGAGTGCTTGGGAGCTCAAATCCCTCCAAGGGCATGCAATATTTTTATGGGAAACATGCTTTGACATGTCTACTTAATAGACACTCTTGACAGGTTTGTTAATCTCCATGTCGGAGCATTGGTTCATTCTACATGTATGCACCCAGTCTATGTTGTGTTGTGTTGATACATGAAATAGAAAGAAAGATGGAATAAGACTATTCATGGATTATATGGTGAATCCTACTAAGCACAATTTGATCCTACCATACATTTGGATTCTACCTTATTGGCTGGGTTGTGAGTCATGCTATTGTTGTTGTGTGTTATATTTTCTTTATGTTATTGCTTTGTCTACTCCCAAAATATCTCGAAGTGACTAATATGGGGAAGTTGTTAATCTATTTGTGACAAATCTCCTTTCATGAATTTTGGGGTAACTTCGACGATTCTAGTTCTCTTGCAATAAAAAAATCTACAGGGATGATTGTTTTCTAACTAAAGATCTTCACTCATGAATTATGTGTACTCTTTATCTTGAGTACTATGAGAGAAGAATAGTTTCTTCTCACTATTTTCCAGTTCAGTTTCCATCTGTTTCAGAATTGAGATGCCACTAAAAAGAAATTCCTCGTCATTTAACATGGTCACACAAAATTAAGGTTTAACTTTGAGGTTGGAGAAGTTGTTTGATGACAGATCCCATTATTTCTTATACTGATTCTATATCTAGTTTCAAGCTTTGGTTGGCAACAACGTTGAAAATGTCAAACCTTGTGAAACATGCTAGAAGATGCATTCTTGTGCTTTTGTGTTGAGGTTCTCCATATTGTCATTAAAGTATGGAATACTCCTTGTCCTTCCGGGATAGAAATCTTCATGGTTTGACATACTACATGACACATCATACTTGTAGGTATCTTGGACTTGACAATTGACAACCTACCATGGATTGCTTGCTTGTATCCCCTCAATGGTTAGATGCCTCAATGAGCCAAAATGTGTCAGAGTTTGGGTTCTCTCCAGAACATCATCCTCTCTTTTCTTATTTCATTGTTGTATCTGCACATGCCCCTGATCCTAGGTCTTCACATTTTGTTGAATGGTTCCATCAACGTATAAGCTTACCACATAAACACACAAAAATTGGTACAGCTCGTACATTCTTGTGACAGTTCTTAGAACTTCAAAGAATCCTACACAACATCCAAGGTTCCAGACCTATCCTTCTCATCCACAACGATCATACTTATCCTATCCTTCCCCTTCAACTTATTTTTAATCCATTTGCACATGGAATGGCATCTGGCAAGTGATTGCTTCAACCTTTCCCCAAGGGGAACTTCTGATGCAACTCCTTGACCTAGGATTCAAACGCTAAACCCTCCTTATTATAAGTATACCTTTCTTCACTACTAGCATCTTTTTTTTTTTTTAATGCTAACTTGCAGCCTTGTAGGAATGGAACTCAAGACGTCACATTGTAACACACTCCCACCATCAGTGGGCAATCGAACTTGCTTGAAAGGCCCGGTTTTTGGTGCCATACACCGTCTTCACCCCAATTGTGGCTTTCTTTGCTCTTTTCTTTTGGTCAATTCTCAGTGATCGTTCTTACTTGTGTGCTCCTTTTCCAGTTAGAGATTTAAAATGCAGGCCTCATGCTTTCACTAGTGGTACTCCCTGTGCCACATCTTCTGTTGCTCTTTCCGAGTTTTAGTAGTCCAATGCTTCTATATTTATCATCTTCAGACACCACTAGTTGTGACACCTTTTGTTGTCTGATGTTGAAGGATTGACTTGTGGCTGTATTACCCTTCAAGGATCATTCTTTGATAAATTCAAAACCCATGTCTGTGACTGGGCGTACATAACTTCTTCACCCTTTGTTGATCTTGTAAAGTGCGATACCGATCGACAAGAAGTCATTTAACAGCAAATAAGTTAATTTTTGTTTTTTTGAAAATTCTAAAGTAGTCAAGTGAATTAGGGATGCTTAATTCCTTGTTTCTAACATGCCTGATCAGTTGGATCACGCATATGTACATACACAATGATAAAACAGACATACATACAAATATATGTGCATACGGACAAGCATACATACATGCTTACCGAGAGACAATCGAATATGAGTAAGGAAGGGTGTCTCGAGTAACGCCTAGAACAGAAAATAACTGTTTTCAATGAACCCAAGGAGCCCCAAAGATGGGGCTTCTTCAGCTTGTTCTTTGGCTAGGTTGGTGTATTTGACTGTTGGACCCAACGGCATGTGCTTTTGAATGGATATTCAATGTATCCATATTTCTCAAGTAGGTCGCATTGATTATGATTGCCTATTTGTCTGCACCCATGGCCATGTTTACAGTTGGTATGCGGGCAATCCACAACCTCTGATGACCACAGTGCACATTGGCCTTTTCAGTTTGCTTGAGGCTCCATGTGCTTTGATTAAAAAAAATACCTTTGGCAGTTTACATTGAATGATCTTCATCCCTCTATTATTTCTCTAAGGCCCTGTTTGGCAACTTGCAGATACGTTTCCTGAAAATGCTGAAATCCTGTTAAATGTATCTCTAGGAAATGTTCAAATCCTAGAAGATGAAAGAATGCTGTTTGGATAGCATCTGCATGATGCATATTAACTGTTTAATTGGTCTAGAAGATACATTTCTCAGAATATCATTCTATTATTCACAAGTGTCATAGGTTTTTACATGCTTTTCTCTACAAATTTGGGCAGGTAATTTTTTTTGCCAACTTTTTAATTAAATCATTGTAATGTAAGTTGATTTTTATATGTTGTTCATACCAACTTTTTAATTAAATCATTCTAATGTAAGTCTATTTTTATATGTTGTTCATACATACTTTGATATACCTAATATGAGTATGTTCTCTAATTTAGGCATTTATTCTATGAACCTGCATTTCATGCTTGGGTAGGCACATAACCTTGTTTGAGAGTCCATGTACCCATATTCACCCCAAAAAAATTTGCCAAGACAAGGAAAAATTGTAAAATAAATGGTAAGAGCAATATCATCAATCATTCTTTGTCCTGCAATGATCATCATTTTTCAATACAAAAACCATAAACATCACTGTAGCACTAGAAGCCATATGATAAGTTTGCTTGATTCATTTACCATTAAAAGCATGGCATGAGGTATAACCATGAATTCAACAAATAAAACTACAGCTTTATCCGAAAATAAGTTTATAACTTATGTGCACATACAACATGCATTCCATAGACCATTTTATCAATGATAATATTGGAATTTAGTTGTGTTGCTAAAAAGAAGTCCTGAAAGAACCCAAATAATATTTTC